CGTGTAATCTCGCAAGTCTTTGGCGATAACAGGGGACGGTGCAAGTGGGAAGTAAAGAAGGTACGGATGCATTCAAGAGGACTACTGGCTGGTTAGAAGTCCCAAGTCTGGTGCCGAAGTCTGGTGTACACTGGTGTACACTTGGACCAACGGGAGGCGCCTGTTTGAACATTCTGGAATGTGCCCTGATAGCGCTGCATGTGCATTAAAAGGGAGCCGATTACATATTTCTCTGAACCTCGTTATTGAGGACCATGGAAGTTTGCAGCAATCAGGTTGCTGTACTTGTACTATATTTGCGTCCTCAAGTGTGAACCCAAAATGGGCATTGAAACCTACGTGATATTGCATGACGAGCCAAGAAGAGAGGCCTTGGTGTTGTAACAAGTGCTGCGAAACATGACTTGACGCTGCTCAATTTCGTTCACTTTTCTCGCTATTGACGGATATCATTTGCCAAGCACTCCTTCCAATGCTTCGATTGTAGAGCGTTGCATACTGACTTCAAGCTAAAAATATTAACACTTATCACTCAACATTGCATATCTGCGCCCAAATGGCTCCGTAAGCATAGAAGTATGGCACTCATTGACAGCACTTCATATGTCGGTCCCTTCAGTAGTAAATCCAATCTCGAAGGACGATCATGCAAGTCTTAATGTGGTACACCATCCAATATGGAGCTCTTGACTTAAAAAACACGTTGGATACTTGTTCCCCGGCATGGAACGTACATGTACTTTCCAGAACATCTCGACCACAACGGAGAAAGAATGGTGATTGATTAAGCATGTTTGACGTACACCTGCTCTTTTGCAGGGGTTTCCATCATAAGGCACATGAGGGTCCGTCAAAGGCTGAAATAGTAACGTGCTGCCGATTCAATCCATCGATCAACCGAACATGCACAAATTTGCAAATTTTCTCCAAAGCCATGGGTCCAGGCTTTAAGTGCTGCAACCCGGGTCGCACTGGCGTTCTGTTGCCGAAGGCATATAGAAATTAGAGATTGAAAATTTGCCTTCGCCGACTTGAATGTTCCAAGCCCGCAGTCCGCTGCAGTCGAGGCTGAGTCTGGTCGAGGTGGTCGATCAAATGCGTACACGGATGGCCAGAAGTATGCGCATAAGTACGGGGCCCTACGCGCATTCGTCGTGAACTGTGCGAGGCGCGTTTTCTTGCCCTCAAAATGTTGCACTCGGGAACAGACCCGGTCGGAGAGACCCCGTAGCGGAATCTCAAGGGCACCGGCAGAAGCGAAGAGGGGGGCACGTGGCGGCTCGGCTTCGGCCGATTATATGCCGGATTTCAGACAACTTGCCAGAAACGGACCAACGCAAAAGTGACACGTGTCCCCCCTTTAGGCAAGACCCGCTGCCCCTCCGCATCAAGGTCGCCCCGAAACCGGCCGCTGACCATCGCAGTTATGAAGTTTTGCCGTCCGAACAAGAATCGACGTCCTGTCGCGAGCAGCGCGCGCAGGTTTCAGACTTGAGCCGTCACTGAGGGAGTGACTGGCGGGCGGCCCGGGCTGCCGGTTTGCCAGTGTGGATGGGCCGTCCGATCGTGTCACTCCGACTCCGAGTACGGTCGGACTCGAGAAAGGAAAGGACACCTCACCGTCCAATGGAAGGAACTGGAAGGACACCCCACCGTCGATAAAAGTTCAGGCGGTTGCATTTTTCAGAAGGTTCAGTCTGACCTGGCACCCTGAAGAGTACTGACTCAGCAACCCGGCTTGGACCGACTTTGACTAGGTTAGACTGCTTAGTTTTACGCCAACTCAGCGGTTCTAGAAGGTCACGTAAAGCCTGCCCCGGCCACGTGAGCAGGCTGCAAGCCACGTGAGCACGCTGCAAGCCTGCTTCGGACGGTCTGGGCCGGCCGGAAAATGAGGTATAAAAGCTCAGAAACTCTCTCATTTCATTCATTCCCAAGTAGAGCACTTCCGAATCCTTCTATTCCAAGCTCAATGCATCCTCAGAAACACATCCCAACTTTGAACTAGGCTAAGCGCCTTGTTCTGTAGCACGTTGAGCTGACTCGTTCGGGTACAGGCTATTATACTATAGACGAAGTAGCGATCCATTCCAAGAGTCAGCACAGCGGCAGTGCGTGGCGTCCGCTTCGAAACCGTCAGGCTCGGAGCTGCTGAGAGATGCCAGTGGTGCCAGAGCCGGTGGTGATGGCAGTGACGATCCGCGCCAGAGATGCCACTGGGTGCCAGTGATGCCAGCCGTACATGCCACTAATTATCCGCGCTGGTGGTGCCAGTTTGCCAGTGGATCAAATTGTACGGAGCCAGTGGTGATTCCCGCCAGTGGTGCCAGTCTTAAGTGTGGTGCCAGTGTGCACGCTGCAGTTTGATCAGCCCTTGGAAGCTCAAACCGTGTGCAGCTCATGAGCAGCTAGAGCTGACCCGGGCGGTGAGCGCTGCTGAGCTGCGGACCCGACTGCTTGCTGGTTGGCTGTGAGCGTCACCAGAGCTAGGGTGATGGCCAGTGACATGCGCCTTCCCTGGCAAAGGTGAGTGCATTTCTGAACACAACCTCGGGTCTGAGAATTGTTCAAGGGTTAAGAGATAGGCACGTTGAAAAGTGCGCACGAACGAAGCACTCGATAACCTAATTCAACGTTGCATTCCATGATACAAACGGACTGTACTCTTTCACCTCAGGCGGAGTGAGTTGCGAGTCTCAAGCGGGGCCGCGGATTGCGGATTGCGGCAAAAGAATTTTGTCTTTTTACACCTGGTTATGGACGTTTTACATAGTTGTTGCAGCTGTGATTACAGTGACTCGTCAGAGTCGGAGGATTCCCAAGGAGAGGACATCGAAGGCGTTGAATACGCTTATCGATCCGTTGATGGGTCCCAGTCTGGAAAGTCACTACAGGGTTTCTTCGACGATCATGATTTCGCCAGCAACATGCAAGGGCCAAGCTTCTACAGGGCACTCGACAACGAGGACACTTTAAGCCCGGTTAAGGTTGCCCTTGGGCCCATTGGCAAGAGGAAGAGGCCTCCAGTGAGTCGCATACACCGTCCCGGATCGATGATTGGCTCGAAGATTTCCGTTTCCAGCATTAAATCTCTGATCGGCTTTCTCTTTAAATTGCTCTTAGGTCGAAGTGGTGCCTGCTGCTGTGAGGCCACTCATGGGTTTCCTATGCTGTACAAGATGAGTCATTCACCTTTCCAGATGTTATTTGGTCTACTGGCAGCTGTTTCAGAAGCTGGTTCTTAGAAATTCTCATACCACAGTCAGCAAGACGACACTTCACGACTGGATGGCGAAAATCTGATGCTATCAACCTTTTCTCTGCGCCTTATTTGATTTGATTTCACTGTCATGGAGTCTCTTGCATTGCTGAGGCGCAAGCTTAGAGGCGTCGGACAAACCCATCAATCCCGTCGCGAATGCGTGATTGATCGATCAGTGGCGCTGATCACCGGTGAGCTTTTCTCCCGCGCTCTAAATCGGCTTGTTGCGTCCTTTTTTCTCAATCACCCAAACGGGAAGATCAGTGTTGCTCAGAGACAAATGATGATCCGCTTGCGGAGGACGTTGGTGGGGTCGTACCAACAGGCCAAGAGCTCGAGAGAAAGCGTTGCCGCGTGATTCACTCGTAAAAATCAGAGGAGGAGACTGCACCCACACTGCAACCACTTAGACAGGTAAGCCGCTCGTTGGTCTGAAACGGGTAAGCTTTTGCGCCTTGCACAATCCCCAAAAAAGATAGGCTCCTTTTTCCGAAAATCACAATTCGTAGAATGAGTGTATTGATGCATAGCAGGCCTAGGTTGACCCGAATTCTGCCGTCTTGCGTCATCTTCTTGAAGAGTGAGCTTGTATTGAAATCGTATACCTGTTGCGCTCGCCTGATCCATCCCATGGTGTGCAGGGGCAAGGCGCTCTGAAGCAGATTGCGGCACGTGCTCTGGTTGGGTGTCCAGTGGAGATTTGCAGTCCGATTGAGCAAGCCCAGGTATAATCATTGACAAGCTGCAAGCGGCAATGGAAATGTAGAAAGTGAGGAGTGGTCCGCCGCATAATCCGCTGAGAGATCCGCTAGAACGGATGCGGCTCCATTGTATAGACGTATGGTACCGCCGCATTGCATGTTGATGTTGCTTGCAACACTTGTAAATGTTTGACCCATGTTGCAAGCAAGGCGGCTCAGCCACATGTTGATCCCTTTGTAGTCTCCTCGAAACTCGGCAAATCTGTACGCTTTTCTAGGCCGTCTCAACAGAATCTTGTGATGAACCAACGCTGTCTGTGAAACGTGCGCCCGCAATCTTCTCAAGATGCTAGCCGCTTTCGATACTACAATCAAAGCAAAGGGTTTGTTTCTCACTGAGGCAGCCAAGATGTTGCCGAAACAGGAGATGCGAGTCGAAGCGGAAGCCGAAACTAAGCTTATCGATGCCGATCGGAGGGGTTCGGAGCCCGCTCTCCGAGTCTTCGAGGACGCAGCTCGAGACAATGCAAGCAATCAGGTGCGCCTCTGACACGCCAGACTTTGCAAGCAAGCTGCTCGAAGCGAGCGCGCATGAAATCTCACTCCTTCTTTCGGCTCTAACAAACTGAGGTACTACAGTCAGAAGTCGCCTCTGTCTTTCTAGAATATGATGGGCGACTTTTGACTGACCCCTTTACCAAAGGGATGTGTTGCAACGTGCCGACAACCCGAGCAAGGTTGCGGGAGGGGAAGCCTCAAGGCTTGCAGGAGCAAACTCGTAGCAGAGCGTTGGCATGTAGCCCTTCTAGCAATCCCTTAGTGGCCTGTAGTGGCCTGTCAATCACCCGGCCCACCGTAGTCAGAACGGCCCTTCCTCTCTCCAGAAAATGATGGGCGCCTTTTGACTGCCCTCTCTCGAACATCCGTCCCACCGCAGTCAGAACGCCTCTCCCCGTCTCTGGGAAATGATGGGCGCCTTTTGACTGCCCTCTCTCAAACAACCGGCATGCTGCAGTCAGAACGGCACGCCCTCTCTCTAGAAACTATGGGCGCCTTTTGACTGGCTCTCTCGATCATCCGGCCTGCCGCAGTCAGTCAAAGAATGGGCCAGAGTCAGAACTGCCCTCCCTTCCTTAGAGGAATGACAGACGCCTTTTGACTGGCGCCGAGTCCTAAGCATCCGGCCCGCCAGAGTCAGAACGGCCCTCCTTTCTTCTAAGAAATGATGGGCGCCTTTTGACTGATTGCCCCTATGGAGCTATGACGCCCTCACTTGGAGAACGGCACTCGAAGTAGAACGCCTTGTTCGTCGATTCGAGGAAGATCAAGGGCAGCCTTTTGCAAAGTCGAAGCTTATCCGCCCACAATCGGAAGCAACATGAAGGTCTCGCTTAGAAACAAACTTGTTTGGGCTTGCACGTGCTTCCGCAGGCTAAGGGTCCATTATCTCCTCTGAGGAACCGCTTGAAAACGGCGCAGAAGTATGGAACAGTAAATGTTGTGTGGCTTCTTTCTTTAGGAGGTGACCTCCGAGGTGGACGAATGGGGTCAGACATGGTACTCCCGGTTTGCACCTGTACAAGCTGCCTTCCAGACAAGCTCGATGCCACCGGGCGCTTTCATTGCGTCACGCGACGTCAACACCGGCGGGTCCAAGATGTATACCGCGTTTAACAGCACACAAGCCTTCGAGGAGTACACTGCGAGGATGATCGCAAGCCGCCGAACGCCGCACTTGTACGAGATCCTGCTCGCTTCAGAAGCTTCTTGGCTCTACTCGGACCTCGACTACACGTCGCGTGCCGACGATCCACATGACTTTCTCGAGAGGCTTCACCATCTCCACCGCCTCCTCGAGCACTTCTGCACCCACGTCATGCAACTTCCTTCCGGTCTACTCCAGGGCCCCCAAGTTGCTGCATCCCACGGAGCCCTTTCCCATGGTCTTTACAAGAACAGCGTTCACGAGGTTTGGAAAGGAGTCTACTTCTCGGATCTGGAGGCACGTGCGGAATTCAAGACGGCCTTCAGCCACTTCTTGGACCACCCCCCTGCAGAGCTAGCACGCAGCGCCGAGTTCATTGGCTACACGAAGCCCGACAGCGGAAAGAGAGAAAAGATCTGGGATGATTCCGTCTACTCGAGGAATCGAAACTGGCGCACCCTCCGCTCAAGCAAACTTGGAAGCACGCGCATCCTCTGCCCAGACGAGAGTAGCTCTGAGCGTGTCTCCGACCACCTCATCGGAGTTCGCGATGAGCAAGAACTGGCGCGCGCGCACAAGATCGACGTCCGACCGCTGCAACGATATAATGAAGCGGCTGGAGTGGGTGGTACCTCGAGTCGCACGGCGCAGGGCCGTGTCAACGAGCGACAGATCCCTCTTCGGTATTTCTCCAAGCAGCATGAACCACTGGAACGGGACCTCGGCCCGGAGGAGAGAGCGCGCCTCCTCAGGTGCTGTCAGCAGGATCAT